TGACTGACATGTCATTTTCAATATTGACTTAGGCTTATTAATTGGTATACATAGTTTTTATGTGGGATTATCAATAAAGACTTCGTTTTTATTTTTTGTTACTAATGGTATAATGTTACTATCTAGTTGATATTATATGGGTCACAATTCTTAACTGAAAGAGTTGCATGGCCTAGGCTTGAGACTAAGATGCTATGCATGACGATGTGTGCATGTCTCTGAACACTTTTTCGTTTCTACAGCTTTGTAAGCACATAGAGCTCTCTGATTATGTTACATGCAGTGGCGGAACTAAATGGAACCCTTATCACTCCCCTATTTTTAGTTCTTGACCAAATTGAACTATTTCACTTTAACCATTCAAAGATATTCATAGCCACAGGAAACGGTACCAAATCCCCTTCATCGATATTGTAAATAGGCTAAAAATGTATTTTGCTGGTTACATTAAGCTATTGAATCCCCTTGACATCGGGAAAACTAGAGTAGTAGAGGGGGGTTCAAGATTTGCTTAATTTCACAGTCAAATCCCAACAGTAACATTCTAGTTTCTTTTTTTGAATCCGCTTAAATAAATTCCTGGCTCTGTCCCCAGTTGCATGTGTTTCCCGTCTTGGCCTCCCTTTGTTTTTATAGATGCGTAAATGTGTGCCAGTTTGGTGGGTATGTAGACTTCTTAACATAATCCTAGACTGGGTTGTGATAGCCATCAGCTGCAAAATATGGGTTCAGATCCAGGACCAAAGTGGCATAAACCTGCAACGATAATGTAATAGCAATGGTTTGGATTAAAATGTTTATTAAGCCTAGTGGTTGCCTTTGACTGTGTAATTTTTTTTTTCAAAAGACTTGATTGTGCTAACATAGGAAATTGAGTGCTTTCTCTCACAAAATATGAAAAAATATTTCACTCGTCAAGATTCGAGATTGAAGTGCTACTTTCTTTATAGTGTCTTTCTGATAGGTTACTTTCTATATGAGTGGAGTCAACAAATTTATGCTGCTGTGAGTTGCACGCGGTTGGGTAGGGCTGTAGGGAAATTGGTGGTTTGAAAGTTTTTGTGCCACTGACAAATACATTGCAAGAGTGGGAGTTGAGCAGAGAAGGGGAGGGGTGTTGGTGTTCTCTATTGGTTCATAAAGGCCGCTGTCTCTAGTTCTCAGTCAATTGAAAGCTTTAACAAACTCTCTTTTATGTGATTTGTATTTGAAGTATCATCCAGCTTAGCATGTGTATTATAAGTGACATTACCAGTTTTCTCTTTCTTTCCAGGTGCACCACGGGGGTGCTGGAACAACAGCTGCTGGTCTTAAAGCTGCGGTGATGATTTCAGCAACCTCTGTTTTACTCTTGTTTCCTTTTGTGTTTATTTGGGCTAATTGGATTATATCATATTTTGGGATTACAGTGTCCAACAACTATTGTACCCTTCTTTGGTGACCAGCCATTTTGGGGGGAAAGGGTGCACGCTAGAGGTGTAGGCCCTCCACCTATACCTATCGACGAATTTTCCCTTCCTAAGCTGGTTGAGGCAATTGAATTCATGCTTGATCCTAAGGTACTTTGCTATGGATTTTTATCCCATATACCTGAATTTTTCTTGCAGAAATTATGTAAAAGCAAAAGTTTTTAAATCATGAATTAGCATACATACTGGAGTTTAATTTGCTCAAGTTATGTTCAATGGGTCTTTTGAATCTTAGTGTCATATCACATCATCCTTTATCTAACTAGAAACTTAAGACAAATTGTGAATTATCAATTCAAGATGGAGTTATTTACCAAGTTGTTCCTTTTATTTTTAAAGGGAAACCAAAAAACTCAAGGCATGGTTGTATGAGACCAAAGCTTAGTTGTTGTTAATGTATAACACATGAGGTAATTCACAGGTAAAGGAGAACGCAGTTGAGCTGGCTAAGGCGATGGAGAATGAAGACGGGGTCACTGGAGCAGTAAAAGCCTTCTTTAAGCATCTTCTCCGCAATAATGAGCCTGATCTTGATGAAACACCTGCACCACGAAGTTTATTTTCTTTAAGAAGATGCTTAGGTTTTTGCTAGATCTCAATGTGTGAAATTGTCTATTTGTCACTATAAACTATTTGTACCTTGTTCCTGCAATAATGTAATATTTTTATACACAACCAATGGTGCTATATTGTATTACATTGCTACCCTAAATAGTTGGATACCATGAATCAAATAAAAGTTCTAAATTGTCCTAGTTTTGTTTCAAGAACTATTAGTGTTTGCACTTCGAAAGGGCGTTTACCACAATGAAAGTGTTGTCTAATTTATTCATTGGTTGTTCCATTTGCAAGATTTTCTGGGAGTTGAGGGGCTATGTATAGGCTACATATTAGAGGTTAGTATTCTGAGTCTAATTTATTCATTGGTTGTTCCATTTGCAAGATTTTCTGGGAGTTGAGGGGCTATGTATTGACTACATATTAGAGGTTTCGTATTCTGAATTTGCTCAGGTTGGCATAGTTTGTTGTAAAAATTTATTTATTTATTGCAGCAGCATGCCATTGGAGAAAGGCACACAGGTAACGATGTGAACAAGAAGGGGGTTCCTGTAATTGATATTCCCAAAGGTCTGTGCACTTTTCAGTTGTTGCAGCATTTAATAGTGAGTTGCACTTGTTCATTGGCTTTCTACAACTTGACCTTCACTGGTGCACTGTTTGATGCTTAAGGAAACAAAACACTGATAGTCAGTCACACATGCAAAAGTAGTAGAGAGATAAATCCTGGTGTGGTAAAAGTCAGAAATTCTAACAAAGATTTGAATTCATTTTTGTCTCTCTTGGGATATTTTTCTTTATTATTGGGATGGGGGTGTGTGGCATTAACTATATGTGCTGCTGTTACATGACTGATGAAATGAAAAACTTGTTGAGAGTTGCCACGTCTGTGAACATATGGACCACTGTTGTTATACGTGAAGTCCCAAGACATGCAACCAATGGATGGGGAAGAAGGGACAAGTTGCATAACAATTGGCGGTGGATGTCAGATTGGAGAAAGACAACTTGTTCTTTTTCTCCCATAACTATTTATTGAATAAAGCACAGTCTACGCCATTTTGTAGAAACATGAATGGCAACTAAAATTCTTAACCAATCCCCTCAACTCGGAAACCCCAGTAGGCAGCAGCATCTAGCTTTTGGGCAATATAGTTGAATTTACGGGAAATTACATAAATGGATCATAAAATTTTAAATAATTTTAACTGCACATTCAAATTCAAAGTCATTTCTGAAATATCCATTCTCTCATAAATAATAATAGCCTATATACCCCATTCATTAAGGCTGAAAATTTTTGCTTAACTAATACCAAATTAGTATCATATATTCTACTTATATCATTCATAAGACTGATAATTTTCGCTTAACAGTATTATTTATTGTGATATCTTTAAGGCTGATAATTTTCCGCCTAACTTATACTAAATCAATATCACATACTGTATTAGTATCATTAAGGTCATAATTTTTGCTTAACTGATATTAAATTAGTATCATATGTTGTGTTGATAACATTAAGGTTTCTTGTTCAGAAGCTACTCATTAGTCAATGATATTAGAAAAATATATGTATATTGTTGTGGTATCATTAAGATTTCTAATTCAGAAATTACTTAATGATACTATAAGAGAATATTATATTCGTAAAATATCATTGACGATACAGTATATATATACTGATTTAGTATCAATTAAGCAAAATTAATTGAGGGATGTATAATATAATTATTTAGTAAGATATAAATATAAAGGGATATGTGTTTGTAATTATTTTGCTTTTATAAATATTTGCTTAATTCCTCTTAAGAAATTATGTTTTGTCCCGAATCTAGGCTAGACCAGTAAAATTCATGGAAATCAATCAAATTAGAATAGTAATCAAAAAATTATGTTTTGTCCCGAATCTAGGCTAGACCAGTAAAATTCATGGAAATCAATCAAATTAGAATAGTAATCAAAAGAAAAATAGGAAAGCTAATAGCAAAGTAATGCTAAACACATATGCATGAAATTGTAGTAATAACGACAAGGTGCATGCACAATAAACCATAAATGATAATAAAAGTATAACACCAAAGAATACATAAATTAGTAGTCTAGTAGGACCAGAACACGCGACCTCAAGAAAATTTTGCAACCCCTTAACTATTAGATTAAATTTTCAACTTCTATTGAAAGAAGTCAATACTTATATATATATATATATATATATGAAAAAATAACCATGTAATTTTTTGACGACGAAATGTTGCTTGACACCCCTTATGTGTGGCTGGCAAAGACACGAATAAGCTAGTAATAAAAACAATTCTCAACTGCTTATTAGCATTCTACTCTAATATGCAATCTCCACTAAACTCCTATCTAATATCATATATTCGCCTAATAACCTCTCCTAAATACATATATAATAAAGACTATAATTCTGAATTATGAGGACAAATGTACACATCTATTTTATTGAAAACTTAAAAAAGCTTTTAAGTGTCCTTTTTTAGTTGAAAAAAAAGGAACAAAAAAAAGAAGAAGGTGAAGTTGGAAAAGCAAGTGCTTAAAAGGTGTCAGAAGCTGATACAATTTAGCCAATCCATACATAAGTGTTTTTCTGTTCTGAATTCTGATCTAACCAATCTCTTCCATTTCCTCAGCATGCAGGAAGGATGATGATACTTAGCTTTCTCCCCACTTATCCTCTCTTTCTTATCTCTTCTCTGTTCAGTTTTTCCAAGCCCATACACCCCCCATTTGCACACTTTTTAATACTCTACTTCATTATTTCTGTCTTCACATTTCCCAACCTCACTTTCTCAACTTAAAACTCTTTACCTCTTTCCTCATTTTTTTCATAACTCACTACTTCAAAACTCCATAATTCTTGTTTCTTTCTGTTCCCTCTTTATTTCTTCCTCCTACCTCACTGCTCATCAAGCCAAACTCTTCTCAGGTTTGTAACTAGTTCAATATAATTTCAATTTGTTTCCATGTTTACATTACCCATAGTGAGGGAAAAGTACATTATCAAATAGGATAAATTTTTTTGTATGTATAAACTTTTGAATAGGAGTGCAACATTCTTACATTTTTTCAATCCTCTTACTTCAATTCTTGGATCCATCACACTAATTTTCTGTCCTACAGGAACCTTTTAGTCCTATAAGATATCACAATACTTTTAAAGGGGTTGTTGTTTGGTAGTTAGTTTGAAAATGAGTTAATGCGCATATTAAATTTTGCATAAGTAATATCATGTTTGGTAGTTAGTTAAAGGTGCTTCCTCGGTTCACAATTTCTTGGCAGATATACTAAAAGTAGATGTCTAAGATTAATTGTCAATTTAAATAATCAAGAAAGAATTAGTCACCTTTTTTCAAATTTGCTTAATGATAGTGTAGTTCAATTGATAAATTATGTAGATTTTTTATATTCTTGGTATAGTAGGATTATATTAGTCAAATTATACCTTGTATTAAAATATTTCTTGAGGAGTGTGTATGACCTTAACATGACAAACAATTATGGACGAAGGGACTAAGTTATTCACATATTAAAAATTAATATAGTATTCGATTTACAATTTAGAAATTCACATATATAACTATTACATGTATAACTTATGAGAAAATATATGTATTATCTTATGCATGATAAGAGAAGGAATAACTAATACATGAATAAGTAAACCTTGCATAACTAAAAATATAATACATAAATTCTTTATAACTCTAACCAGCTATCGAACGGTTGAATGTAGCTGAGTTAAGCCATTTGGAATTTTTCTTTCATTTTTCAGGAATGGAGAGTGAGAAATTAATAAGCCATGTCCAATCAAATAACAATTCATCAGAAGACAACAACAACACAAGGTCATTCCCTTGTTTATATTGTTCAAGAAAGTTTCACAGTTCACAAGCATTGGGTGGTCATCAAAATGCTCACAAGAAAGAAAGGACAGCAGCTAGAAAGAACAAAAGATCAATTATGTCAGCTCACCATAATCATGACTATGCTACTAACTTCTCTTCATTACTACCACAAGGCACACCTCTTGTTTTTGCACCTAATCATCATCCCATTGGCCTTATAAATCATCCTTCTCTTTACATTACTGCTCATGCAGCCAACTTTTGCCACTTCCCACCTAGCCAACAACACTTTTCTAGTAGATCATTTGGATCAAATGGAGCACCAAGATTTGAAAATAATAATAACGCCACGACGACGATGCTCTATCGAAATCAATTTGGGAATTATATGAATAATACTAATACTAACCCTTATGTGTGCAACGATGACTTCTTTGAAGAATGTCAAGAGAATGTACCAACTTTTGTTAAGGAAGATAGAGATCAAAAGCAGCTTGATTTGTCACTTCATTTATAATTTCCCCTTTTTTTTTGTATGGGATTTTTGGATTTTATTTAGACTGCCCATCACTTCTTTTTTGTTCTTCAATGATTATTATAATTCATAGCTATTCTGAATGATTAAGGTTATTTTTTAGACCTAATTGAAATATACATTTTAGTATTGTTTGGACATTATTTGATTGAAATTGAAAAAAAAAAGCTTTTGATAAGAAAATATGACGAAAATGACATTTTACTTTTAACTAAAAATGAAAAAAATTAGTTTATTTTGAAATTAAAAATATATTATAAATATTTTAATTTTCTGATCAAATTTTTTAATCATTTAGTATTATCCTATTTTTTCGGGGAAGTGAGAGTTGACATTATGGTTAGATCTTTTTAGATTTATGGGCCGCTCTATTGGGCAATTTGCATGAGTGATGAGTTTAGCTCTTTTGGGAATATCTTGGTTTGTGTTGTTGGAATGAAATAACTTTTTGATGGAATATGTTGTGTATATAATATTTATTTTGTCCAATAATAGTTGTTATTATTGATTTGATATACCTTTTAAAAATTTATAAATAAAAGGATAGTTTTACTATATCACCATTTGAATACATTCTCTTCGTTCGGTATTGTTTGTCATAGATTCTATTTTTAGAGTCAAACTATAAAAATTTTGACTAATATTTTAAGATGTATTTTTTCAATTTATTAATATACAAAAAATTACAATTTATAGTACTTTTTATATAGTTTTAAAATATCTAATTAATATGATATAATTTAATTTTGAAAATTAGTCAAATTAACTTTTGAAAAGCGCAACATGACAAACAATACCGGATAGAAAGAGTAATAAATACAATGTCTTGAAAATATGATAAACAAATGACTATAATTAATGATAAAGGTAACTTAGGAACGAAGTATAAAATTATTTACTGATTTTATAAAGTCGGCAAGTATTGTTAGACATCGCGAAATAGTATGATGGACAACTATTATTGAACGGAGGTAGTATATATACTAAACTATAAAATATTACTCCATTCTTTTAAAAAACGGATGGCCTACTTTTATTTTTAGTCGGTTGAAAAAGAACAACTTTTTTTTTCAAAATATTTAAATTTCAAATTTTCATGTGACCTGTTTAAATTATAAGTAAGTTAATCATAACAAATCAACAAATAAATTATAAAATGAATTAACAAATCATAACAGTATATTACACAAAGATTAATAAAGTTTATTACACAAAGATTAATAAAGTTTATTAGAAGAGAGAATTAAGTATGGATAAAAAATGTAACTAATGTAACACTAGGCAATGAACTATAGAATGAATTAAACTTATATCAATAATGAATTAAACAAGTAATCCAATAGTAATAAATAATAAACTATAAAATGAATTAAATTTGTATTAAAAATGTATTACACAATATGAAAGTTGAATAAGAAGAGAAAATTAAGAATAAATAAAAAACATAACTAACGAAAGACAAGACAATAATCTATAGACTGAATTAAACTTGTATTATGTATAAGTAAAACATGTATTATATGTATCTTTTAAATTATTTGATTTGTATCACTAAGAACATGAGTGATGTTTGCGATATCTATTAAAAATGTAGTGTGCGTGTATTAATCTTTGGTTGGTATCACTAAGAAGAGAGTAAAGTTTACAATATTTATAAGAAACGTATTGTTCATGAATAAACCTTATATTATATGTGTCTTATAAATTATTTGATTTGTATCAGTAAGAAGATGAGTGATGGTTGCACTATTATTATAAATGGATTGCTAATGAATAAAACTTATATCATATGTGTCTTATAAATTATTTTAATTTATCATTAAAAAACGAGTGACGCTTGTAGTATGTATTAAAATGTAATGTGCATGTCTTATAAATGTATTATTATTCTTGTTAGTGTCACTAAGAAAGGAGTGAAGCATGCAATATATATTATAATTATTCATGAATAAAACATGTATTATAGATATCTTATAAATTATTTTGATTTGTATGACTAAGAAAAAGAGCAACGTTTACAATATGGATTACAAATGTATTGTTCCTATATTATAAATGTATTAAGAGTGTGTTGCTTAAATTATTTTGGTTGATATCACTAAAAAAGAGTGAAGTATGTAAATATGTAATATGTATTATAAATATATTGTTCATGATTTTAATACAATTATGAAATATATCTAATACAACTTTAATACAATTGCGATGTAGTTTCATAAACTTTACTTTTTTGAGTTTCAATCTAATATTTCTCCTAAAATCAATTATAAACTTAACCAAAACCTCTTGGAATTGAGATATAAATTCCAAATAACATTTTCAATAATTTGTTGAATTAACCAATCCAAACTAATCACAAATTTGTAAAATTCAAATAATGAATTCAATATTTGAAGTTTTATAATGATCATCAATGGTAAACTCTTGTTGTTGTAATTTTAGAGATTTGAAATTTCTACTTGAAAATATGATTTTGTATAAATTTTCATCTTTTCATTTTTTTTGTCGTTTTTTTTTTTGAATAAAAATAACAAAATATGAAAAAATTGATTTGTTATTAAATAAAAATTTGAAAGAAGGAGAAGAATTTATTTAAAAAAGAAAAGAAGAGTACACAGATAATAATGATAGAGAGAGAAAGATAAGAAAAATAATTTAAATAAAAGATAAAGAGGAAAAAGGGTTGAGAAGTAAGCGACCGTATAATTTTTTTAAATTTTAAAAATTTGTTATATTTAGTTATAAATTAGGGATAATTGTATAGAATGACAAACTAATAATATAAAATAAATATCGTAGCTACCGTTTGATTTATTTGCGTTCCATAGCAAACTGTTTGCCAATCTCTCTCTCTCATATTCTAGCTCGCCACTCTCTCTCTCTCGCTCGCTTTCTGTCGCTCGCCTCTCTCGCTTTATACAATAGAATTGTAAATTGTGTTTCTAATTGCATAAAGCGAAAGAAAATTGTATATACACATGCAATACATATATTTTTGTTCTGTACACTTATAATTATACGATAAAAGTACTCCCTTGCCCAAGTCTCTTTTTCCTTTCTCTGTTTCTCGTTTTATACTAATTCAAAATGTATATAATTTCTTTCTTTTTCATATTATATAATTCGATTCAATTGTATATTCCTAAAAGTCTCTTTTGTCTTTCTCTCTTTTGTCTTTCTCTCTTTCTCATTCTATACACGTTCAAATTGTATATAATCGTTCTATACACTTATAATTATACAATTCGTTTTATACAATTCTCTGCCTAAGTCTCTTTCTCTTTCTTGTTTTATACACTTCATTTTATACTATTTGCTTCAATTGTATATGTATAGCGAATTATGTATGTATGTATGTATATATGTATATGTTTGCTATGAAGCGCAATTGTGCAAACTTTGTTATATCATACAAATATAAATTTTATGTTTGCTATATGTGAAAGTTGCCCTAAAAGTTATATTGACATAAATGATAAGTATTTTTTTATATAACATATTTATGTAATTTACCCAACTAAATTTCAGATATCGACCCACTTAATCTAAGATGGACTGTTAAAGTGGAAAGCCCATTCTCTACTTACCAGATCCAGTAGTAAGCACTAAACAAGTAGTACCACAAATCTTGTTGCCCCTTTTGTCTATGTAAATATGTATATAAAAAAGTATAATTTATGTAAATTTCATAGCGTAAATTCTAAATTATATTTTATACCTATTCTTTTCTATTTTATAAAAAATTCTTAAAATATCAACAGTCTAGATATATAATTGACTATTTGGATACATTAATTGTGATACATTATATATGTGATTGTTGCGCTTAAAAAAAGAACAAATAGGAAAAATTAAATTAAAATCTCATAATTTACGCTATTCGGGCCATATTTAGTGTCAATCAAATTAAATAAAAATTCTAAAATAACAAATCAATTCAAAATTCAAAATCTCCGTTCATCTTTGTCTTTGTTTTAGCGAAGAAATTTCCGAGTAGGAATTTCAGAACTTTTGATAAGATACATAATGAATATTTTGATTTTTGAGAGGAAGAAAAAATTGAAGATCATAACTTTTGGGTTCCTCAAATTCAACATAAATCTCAATGATTGTCAATCGGGACTTGGGTTTCTTTGCCAACTTCTTGGAATTTTTATTTTCATGTTGGTGATTTCTTATCATTGTGAGATGCAGATTCCAAATATGAAGCCAATTGAAAGTTGTTATTTTACAATTAGCTTGGACAAAAATAGTTATGTTTATTTGGCATAATTTCAATTTTCGAATTGAAAGATCTGATAACAAAAGGTATGCAACACATATTCTTGTGATTTAATCATTGTTTTTTTTCATGACTTTGTATATTGACCGATAATTTTGTGATACATTAATGATTAGAGATTGATACATTAAAAACTTTGACGTGTATGGTATGGATTTGCAAATCTGTGAGTTACTGTAATGTTAATGTAAAATATCGATTACATATGAATTTCTTTTTTGATTATTGAATTTGTATATGCATATATAAATCATGGTACATTACTGATTTCAACTTGATTTAGTTTTACTTTGATGTATATGTAATGGAGTTTTATAGATATGAGTTAGTTTGTTGTTAAAATAACGTATCGGATACATGTGATTTTTTTTCTAACAAAAAAGGGTCAAAATTGCCCCTAAACTATGTGAAATAAATCACTTATACCCTTCGTTACATTTTAGGATCAATAATGCCCCCACCCTTATGTTTAGAGACCAATTACCCTTAAGACTAACATAAGTGATGTAGCAAGCCACATAACACTAAATTCGCCACCTAGGCTTGCCAACTAGGATGCCCACTAAAATATTTGACCCAATTAATAATATAATCCAAACTCATTTTTGTTGGATCAACCTACTAATATTAAGCGAAAAATACCATCTTTCTCAAGACATCGGAACACCCGCAAGCCCTGATTAATTCACCCTTGAATTGTGATTCGGATTATGTAATACCAATAAATTTGTTCGATCAAATATGCATTCGCCATATCAAAATAAGAACGAACAAAATTATCAGATACTTTTATTGTCCAAAAAATCAC